AAAACCCAGGGCGCGCCTGCCAGGATGGAGGGCCTAGAAAAGACAGCCTCCCGCCATAAGCCAGGAACCTGGACAGAGCTCCTTACACACGATGCTCAGACGCTGGACTCCGCGCAGCTGGGCTGTGATCCCCAGACAAAGGCACCGGGCCCTCCACACCTGCGGGGACGTCCCCATAGGCCCACCCGGAGGCCGGCCCGGGTCTGCGGTCCCCCCGCCCCCCAGAGGTGGCCCCCAGGGGCCCGCACAGGTGGAAGCGCTTGGGCCTCAGCTGCCCCACCAGCCCCGCAGGTAATGGCAGCCCCAGGTCCACCCGCCCGGGGAGCCGACTGAGCCCATGGGCCGCGGGTCTGACTGCCAACCTGACCAGGAACGTAGCGCCTGTTTCGGAAGATGTTAGTGGGAAGCGGGGAGCTGGACACGTGACTTACCGTGACTTCACAGCCCAAGCTCAGGCCTGGGCCTCGCACTGACCAGACCAGTGTCTCTCAAAATGGAGACCGGGCTGAGGACGCCCCTGCGGGCTGGGGGCGTGGCCTGGGCGTGGCCAGGGGCGTGGCCTCCGAGGCCCCCTCAGCTTCCGGGAGGCTGCAGTGAAAGCCTTGCAGCAGAACATCTGAAATGTGCCTTTTAGGCAGTACAGTACTCCCTGCTTGATTCTGCTTTGGTTCTTATAAAAATAACAAGTATAAACTTGGTTCTTGTTAATCATTCAGTGTAGACATTAAATATTTTTTGCAGCCTGGTTATTTGTTGTTTTTTTCCCTAACCTGTTTAAAACTAGCCTGTTCTAGTTTTGTTTAATCTTTGATTCCTCTATGTCTCTAGCTTTGACCTGAGTTCTGAGCACTAAACCCAGCTGTCTGGGTCCTTGACAGATGGCTGAGAGCAGATAGAACCTTGGAGGGTGTTCTGGGCAGAATCCTTAGATGGCACATTGATTCAAGCCTAAAATTCTGAGCAGAAAATCCAGCCGTGCTGTGCCCAGAGTTCTGACGTATAGAGAAATTTGTGCTATTTTAAGCTACAATGTTTGTGGTAATTTATTACGTAGCAATAGAAAACTAACACAGAGGACACAGATATGTTCTGTGCCAATATAAAATTAGACAAGTAGCAATTGTCTATGAGTTTCAGAGTTCTCTTGTCTCCATCACTCTGCAGACATAATTTTTTTAAAAAGGCATGAAAATATGCTGTTAAATTGCCTAAGCATGAAGAATATTCCATTATCTGAGTGAAGGCTAGATTAGATATCCCAGCAGTAAACAGTCATCCCTATAATGGAAGGATCACAGGACAGTCAATGCTTCTGTTTTGACATCCAACTAATCGGACAACTTTAAGATTGCAGAGGGGCAATCAGTTAACAATTCCTCAGGCCTCATCAGACTAACCAGTTTACCACTGCAATCTCAAAGTGAACAGGTAGTCTGGGTTCTCATCACTCCCATGCCATCATCTAACATTCCTTCTCTCTTACACATAAGCAATCCAATTTCAGTAACTGCATGGAGGATCTCCTGTGCCTCTATTTTCTTACACAAAACAATATTGGGGGGTCACCAATCTTAACACATTGACCCCTTGATCTAAAAGCCATAAGCTGACAGCATCTTTTGCCTGAAGGTGGGGCTAGGGAGGTTGATGGTTGACTTCATGTGTCAACTTGACTGGGCCATAAGTTGCCCAGTATAGTATCTGGTTAAACATTATTTCTGGGTGTATTTGCAGGGTGTTTCCACAAGAGATTAGCATTTGAATTGAAGGGCTGAGAAAGGAGATGGCCCTCCCCAGTGTTGGTGAGCATCATCCAATTAGTTGAGGGGCTAAATAGAAAATGGTGGAGGAAGGTTGCTTTCTGCTAGACTACTGACCCGGGACATTGATCTTCTGCCCTGGGTGCCCCTGGTTCTGACATCAGACTTTGACTGAAATCTACACCATTGGCTCTCTGACTGTCAGACTTTTAAACGACTGGTTTTTCTGGGTCTCCAACTTGCAGACACAGATCATGAAATTTCTCAGGCTCCATAACTGCTTGAGCCAATCTATACTAATAAAAGGGTAATATGCTAATTAGACCAGATAGACTGGACAAATTCTGGACGTCCTTCCTGACAAAGCTGGGGCCCGGGCGGCACTGCCTGGGGTCCCAGGTGCCTGCAGTCGGTCAGAGGGAGGGAAGCCCAAGTCCTGGTTGCTTGTGGCCAGCCGGAAGAGGGAAGCCTAGGTCACAGGTGTGGGGGCCGAGGCAGAGGCGGTTAAGGGTGATTAAGCAGGCAGGCAAGCGGTTAGGGGCAATAAGGCAGGCAGGCGAGGAGTTAGGAGCCAGCAGTCCTGGATTGCAAGAGGGATGTGCAACTGTCAGTTGCAGGATCAGGCCTAAACCAGCAGTCGGACATCCCACGAGGGATGTGAGAGGGTACAGGCCGGGCTGAGGGACACCCCCACCCCCCATGCATGAATTTTGTGCACCGGGCCTCTAGTCTATATATATAAAACACTAATATGCAAATAGACTGAAAGGCAGAACAACCAACCAGTTGCTATGACATGCACAGACCACCAGGGGTGCAGGCAGAATATGGCAGGCGTCAGCAGCAGGTGGCAGAGCGTGGAACATGATGGGTGTTGGCTGTGGCAGGATGGTGGAGCAGGTGAGTGGGGATGCCAGACTAAGGCGGGGCACCAGTCGCTGCCATGGGGGTGAGCCTCCGGTGGTTACTGAAAATTCTTTGCTCCCGCATGCCACGGTCCCACTGGGCGCTCACACCTGCTGCCGGCGCCAGAGCTGCTGCTTGCACCCACTGCCAGCGCCGTGCCGGCCCTGATCAGTTGGCGCAGTCAGCGGGTGCGAGTGGTGGCTGCCGGCTTCAATCACCCCTCAGAGCTTCTCCACCTCCTCCTGCTCCTGAGGGGCTATTGAGGCTAGCAGCCGCCTCTCGCACCCACTGCTGGCATTGGAGCCACTGCTCGCACCCACAGCTGGTGCCAGAGCCACCGCTCGCAACCTCTGCTCACACCTGGTGCCAGTCCCATCACTTGCTGCTGGCACCGGCCCCACTCACACTGGCAGCCGGTGCCAGAGCTGCCGCTCTCACCCACTGCCAACGCCCCGGGCCGGTCCCAATAGCCCCTGAGAGCTTCTCCACCTCCCCCTGCTCCTGAGGGGTGATCAGGGCAGCAGCTGCCACTTGCACCCCCTGACGGCACTGGCCCCAATTGCTCTGTGCCAACAAGGGTGTGAGCAGGGCCGGCGTCGTGAGCGTGTGGGAGCGGCGGTGGCGGGAGTGGAAACCTGGGCCACAACAGGAGGGGCCAGGCGGGGGCGTGGAGGATGGGCTGAGACCCGCCCCTGTGCTCACCGCAGCTTTGCAGCCCACAGTTCCTGTCAGGGCGCATGAATTTGTGCACTGGGCCCCTAGTACCTTATAATATACAAACATTTTGGCCCATTTCTCTTAATTTATATTTAAAATAAAAGTGTTAAGAAAGAGCCTGGCTAGCATGGCTCAATGGTTGAGCGTTGACCTATGAACCAGGTCACGGTTTGGTTCCGGTCAGGGCTCATGCCCTGGTTTGTGGGCTCGATCCCCAGTGTGGGGTGTGCAGGATGCAGTCTATCAATGATTCCCTCTCATCACTGATGTTTCTATCTCTCTCTCCCTCTCCCTTCCTCTCTAAAATATTTTTTTTTAAGAAAAAGTACACATTAAAATATATAGGGGTAAAGGGACATTTTATCTGCACTTAATCTCAAATGGAGAAGAAAAATATATATTTATCTCAGAAATTTGTTTTCTTTAGTTTGAGATTATGTCAAAATAAAAAACCAGGAAATAAAGGAAAAAAGAAAGGCATATACTCCAAGTAGAGTATTTTCATCCTCTTTTATTGAAGGAAATAAAACCTGTGCTGCAGAGGCAGTAGTACCTCAGAGCATAACAAGGTAGCCAATGGGGCTGACATGACAAGCCACAATGCTGGCCAGGGGTCCTTCCATAGTGGCAGAACCAAAACCACAAAGATAGCAGGAGGTAGCAAACATCCCAAACACCCAGTGCAAGCATTTCCATTTGCAGAGAGCTTGGCCATGCATTGTGAAAACAGGGTCCCCTCACAGCTAGCAGAGTATCATCTCAAGCCACCAAGTCCATCCAAACTACCATGTAGTCTCAGATTTGGAGATCCTTCCCTTTGACCGAAAGATTCAGGCCATTGGAAGATCTCACTTAACCTTTCAGCTCCTTATCCCAAAAGGAAAAGGAGACTGAGTTCTTAAAATATCACATAGGTATAGCTGGACAGGTACTGATATCCAGCCTTGTTCTAAAAGCAGCTAATGTTTTCTCTCCTGACTTCTCACACTGCTCTCAGCATAGGCCCTAGGAAACTTCTCAGTGTTCTAAACAAGGACAGAATGGGGAGCAGCAGTCTAAAGGATGTAGGGAGTCAAAAGCTGCTACATAGATAGCCAAGACCATCTCACAAGAAATAGCATGGGGAACACTACTGGGTCAAGATCCTCCCAAGCAGCTGTAGAAGCACACACAAGGAAAAATGTGGTAGCCCTCTCTTCCCATCTCAGTATCAGCTGTGCCACAGGCATGGTCCAGGAAGCTGAGTCATTTCATGTCCCTGACAGATTATCAACCACCAGGGCATTCCTCAAGCTGTTCCAATTTTCAAGTACAATATGGTGTTTGGGCAGTTCAGTCACAGAAAATCAAGAACTAAAGAAGCCTCAACTAATTACAAATTGATAATGTTATAAAGCCAAAAATTTATACAGCCAAAAACGGATTGGCCTGGGGTTTGGGAAGAGGTGGTATGTGAAGAAGATTTTGCTAGGTAGAAACAGGAGTCCAAGGGTTTATTCCTATGAGCTCGGATCATAAACCATCCTCACATCCGCAGATCAGGAGGAATTCCTTATTCAGATGGCCGTCATCTAAGTAGTCAGTTGCCTTTCTCTTCAATGCTGGACACATGGTTTTCAAGGATCAAAGTCTTGAGAGCATTAGACCAGGAAATGGGAGGAGCAAGGCAAGGAAGAGAGAGCATCAAGGGCTGGAATTTCTGGAATTAGCAGTAATTTCACGGAAGGCTTGGCACAAGGAGGCTGGGGTGAGCGTGGTTTTAGTGATTGTTCTTGGTTGCCTCCTTTGCTGCAGCGATGAGTGGAGTGAGGCTGGAGAGGGGTTTGGCAATCTTCAAGAACTGATGCTAGAAAAGAAAAAAAAGAGCGAAAGACACATGACTATTGACCATTCTTCCTCAGCAGCCAGTACAAGAGGTTAAGGGCATCCATGTCTACCTGGAGAGCTTCAGATTATCCCCAAATTGAAGGACATCTTTAAAAGATAACAACCCATTTTGGAAAAACATTTGGCGGTATCTACTTTCAACTAAACACAATCTGTCCTATATCCCAGCAATTCCACTCCTGGGGATATTTCCAAGAGGAGTTTGTGTATCCATGAAAAGACAGGCATAAGGCTGTTCATCACAGCTTTACTTCTAATAGCCATAACTAAAAAGAACCCAAAGAGCCAAGAGAATGGAAGGAGGAATAATGTTATAGTCATAAAATACTATGCAGAAAATTACACAGAAATACAATAACTAATTGGTATATTGACAATGAGACATTATGTTGAATGAAAGAAGCCAGACACAAAGGAGTTTATATTATACTAGAGGCCCGTTGCACAAAGAGATTCGTTCAATAGGCCTTCTTTCCCCTGGCTGCCAGCACCAATTTTCCTCTGGCACCCGGGACCCAGACGTTCACTCTGGCCACCACCTTCCATCTTCACTCTGGACACAGTCTTCGTTGTGGCTGGAGCCTTCAGTCTTTGTTCCTTGCTCCGGCGGGAGTCTTCAGTCTCCGGAGATCACGATCATGATCACAGCGCCAAGCCCCGCCGCCCAGGGTTGCACACGGGGGTCCTGGCTGGGGGCGGGGCTTAGGAGGCGCTTCTGTGCCGCCTAAGCCTTGCCCTGCCTGCATTATGCAAATTAGCTGCCATCTTTGTTGGCAGTTAATTTGCATATCATGCTGATTAGCCGATGGGAGGCGTAGCGAAGGTACGGTCAATCACCATGTTTATCTATTATTAGATGGGAAAGCCAAATATGCTAAGTGTTTGGTCATCTGTTCAACCAATCAAAGTGTAATATGCTAATGATATGCTAAGGATGCTCACATGGATGGCAGCTCGCGCTGGCCCACCCTGCCTGCAGTATGCAAATTAGCCACCATTTTTGTTGATGGTTAATTTGCATATCATGCTGATTAGCCAATGGGAGGTGTAGCAAAGGTACAATCAATTACCATGTTTGTCTATTATTAGCTAGAGTTAGGTAAGCCTAAACTATGGTGATAATCAGAACAACAATTACCTCTGTGGGAAGGTATTGACTAATCATGACTCTATGATATGTTGCAATACTGCGTTTCAGGAGCATACTAGACCACATAATTTGTTGTGCTATCCTTGAATCCAGTAAGGCTAATTAATCCAGTAAGGACTTGATCAATAGCTTGGTCCTAACCCAAATCACTTTCATTGGACTGTACTTTGGGCCATATCCCCAACTATTAAAGAAGACTTTTTGGAGAAAACACCATATGAAAACGGCATGTATATTTTCAATAAAACTGTTATGAAAAACAATTCTTTACGTAACTCAAAGTCTCTTAACTAAAAATGATTTTCCTTACATTTATTAATAAAAAATCTTTGTGCCTTGAGAATAGGGGATATTTCTTCAATTTGATAAGAATATAGGAACTATCACATTTCCTTTCCAGTCTGACTACCAGAAAATGTGGAACCAAATTTGATGTTTAAACAAAACAATTTAACTCAAATTATTTGCATATTTAATTTTTTTGCCATCCTTATAAGTCCCTTTTTAATCATGCTGTATATGTGTACAGACACACACAGAGACAATATATATAGATTCTTTGCTAGCAAGTTGCTTCAACTTCTTTTGGGACATAGATAGAACATAAAGAGGTACTAAGAAGAAGAAGTTAAAATTATTATGAAAGGAATAAAAGATCTGGCTAAATCATGCAGACATAAATTCCAACATAAGATCCTATGTACTTCTGTTCACATATGTGTTTGCACTGGAGAAATAGGTGTGAAGCTTTCATTCTTTAAGATTCCAAGAGTCATGGTTTTAAATATTTACAATGTACAGTAACGTTAAAGAGCCCATGTCCTCAGATGACATGTTCTATGAGACTTTGAGCTGAGAAAGCAGCATGATCAAATATCCAACTAAGAGGCTTCAGTTTCCTTCTCTATATAGTTGGCAAAGTAGACTAGATAAACCCTAAGGCCCTTCCAGTTTTCACTCTCTTTGAGCCAAAAGAGCAGTGGCCAAGAGCACACAAACTTGAGAGCCTAATGAACATAGGTTGAAATCCTGGTTACCCGCTTATCAGTTATGTAATCATAAAAAAGTTACTAAATGCTTGAATTCTCTCTTTTTTTTCATGTGTAAACTTGGGAATAACAGAAGCTATAACTCTCAGGTTGTTATAAAGTCTGAATGAAAATACATAAAGTTCTTAGTGCCTAGAGTGTGGTAAAGATTCAAAATCCTGCATTTACTATTAGTTACATTATTATATCGAGAAAACTCTAGAGGGCACTACTCTTTCAATAACTACAATTTGGTACCTAATTAACAATATCTTCAGTCACAGCCTTAACATAGTATTTGCACATTTCCCAATGCTTCGGGTTTCCTGAACAAACCTCATATGAAAGGCAAAGGGATCCTATCTGTACTGTGTGTTATAAGGGGTTTTTAGTCCCAAAGGATTCTAGAGACGATTGGATTACACTTGGCAGAACCCAGATCCCATATCTAATTGACCAATGCTCTGTAACCAGTAACCCCAATTACAAAGAAATGCTAAATATGTTCCAGAGGGTAACATTTCAATTTAAGCAATTCCATTGAATTTAACAGATTTCTTCTAAATACCTATTCTGAACTAGGTCCTAGCTATAAGAGGAGACCCAGAGATTAATAAAATGGAGGTTGTAATCTAGTGGGAAAAACAGAAATGCAGGGCAGTGTGGTAGATCTTGCTCTGCCCTGCCCTGCTTAGTTGCTCTTGATCCTAACACAAAAGTGACTGACTGCATGCCTGGAGATGACTCACTGTTATAAAGTTATGTGATACTTAGTATTAAATCACCATAGGCAAAGTAGTAAAATATACTAGTAATAAGAAATTGTACCTGGAACATAAGTGTTCAATACAAATAATGTGGCCCGCTAAAGACGGCTTCTGCAACCGTGTGAAATAATTAGGCTGTCTATTCAGAATTCAGCAGGTGGCAGTATAAAAGACATAGTAAACCCCTGACTTTAGGCTTCGCCAAGTCTGGCGGAATATCACTGCCACCATCTGAGAGGAATTCAACTGAAGAAACAGGGAAGGCTTGAAAAGCTGTACTCTAACTATCCCCCAAACTTATGACCTCTGATACCCTTTACTGAAAATGCATTTTTTGAGCTTATCTCCAGTAAAATATAACTTTTGTAATATTTTCATATTAGAGACTATCTTCTACCAAAGACTCAAACTCTGCTAGACCCAACCAGGCAGAACAAAACAAGTGCTAAAGGAAGATACAAGCAAAGTTCAGTAGGAGCTCAGCTAGATCTTTCAGCTGAGCCTGGGAGAATGCAGAGTTTTAACAGGCTGAGGGAGAGCCTAAGGGAATGACAGGAGCAGAAGCCCAGGATGAAATGAAGAAGGTCAGGGACCTGGAAATACAGGTTGAGTGCAAAAGTGGTAAGAGAGAAGCCAGGTTCTAGAAAAACCCGTACCTCACAGACAAAAATGGAGCAAAACAGGCTTGGTTTAGTGGTTTCCCAAAACCAGGGGCTTCCCTGCATACACCAGTTACCTGTAACAGCTCTTTAGCCGAACCTCTCTTTTCCACATCCATCTCAAGACAGGGTTCTGAAGCTCTGGGGTCCCATTGGTGGCAATGAGGTACAAGGCCTGACAACACAAGTGGAAAATCACCTTAGGCTCCAAATGAGGTTCTCACTTGGCCCCAGACATGCCCCCTAGAAATACGGTCAGCTGCTTTATGCTCCTAGGACACAAAGAGGCAGCTTTGGTATAGTGGAAAGACTATGACCGAGGATCAAGTTTAACATTGAAAAGCCATGGGACCACATGCAAGCCAGTGAGTTTCCAACTTTCTCATCTGGAAAACAGGGATGATACTAGTGCTTATCCCACACGACTGTAAAAATAAAACAAGGCAGTATATCGGAAAGCACTTGGTAAATGATGAAGTGTGCTACATACCTAAAGGTTAATTATTATTCTTGATTACAGATCTCTAGGTTTCAGTATGCATTTGAAATGGGACTAGCAACACTCACTCTCAGAGGGTTTTCATTGAGGTACGGGGGCTCCCCTTCAATCATTTCGATGGCCATGATGCCCAGGGACCAGATATCAACCTTGGGCCCATAGGCTTTCCGCGTCACAACCTCTGGTGCCATCCAGTACGGGGTTCCCACCATGGTGCTCCGTTTGCTCTGCTCTGGAGTGATTTGGGCACAGAATCCAAAATCAGCTAGAAACAGAAAAGAAGGAAAGGAATTGTGTTTAGGGTACTCTTTCGTGAGTACTGACTATATGCCGACCCCCAGGTGTCAATCTCTGCCTCACTCCCTCTCTCTCCAAAGCTGGAATCACATAATTGCCACTTTCATGCCCAGCTCCTAGCCTGGCCCCTGTTCAACCTTAAAGAGAAGTAGGAGCAACACAACAAATACCACCTCTGGCCTTTTATCCATCCTCAAGCCAAAAGGACTGGACATTAAAGTCCAAGCTGCCCATTTGGCCTTGATTACTTGCTCCAATTCTTCTTTCTTCTTGGAAACAATCGCCATACCCCAAAATCCGGCGGGTAGGTCCTTGCTCTACTTCCTGGGCATGAGTCTCAGACTTAATCTCTAATCACTTACAATGAGGCAGGGCCCTACTTTTATCCGTTCCTCACCCTGTGGCCAGAGCAGAGGCTGAGAACAGTCTCCCCATCCACCTATGACACAACCTGTTTGTCTGGACTACTGGTCCTTACCCTTTTATTCTGACTGAAGTTCATTTACATTACATTGCAATTATATGTTTATTTAAATTGCGAGGCCTTTGATAGGAAGGACTATGTCTTCTCACTCGTTTTTTTATTCCAAGAGGGTCTGGAATATAACAGACATATAATACTGAATGGAGGACTGAATGACAAAAATTACACTAAACTCATTTTTGTAATTATGTGTTTCATGGAGACTGAGAACTACTTGAAGAAAGGCAAAAGTGTCCTCCATATCCATCAGAAGACCTAGCACATAGGGGGCATTCAGCATATTTTTTTTGGCTAAATGTATAAATGAATGAAAAAAAATGACACCTTATATAGTAGTAATATAAAGATCCGAGGAAATGCTCTTTGGTGAGTGCTCTAGCTACTATTATATGAACACTGTCCCACAGGAGACAGGGTCCCACAGGGAAGAGAAGCATTACCACTCCTACTCACTTAGCTTGACAGAGCCATCCATTCCCAACAGGATGTTGTCACTCTTGATATCTCTGTGAATGACCTGGTTGGAATGCAGAAACTCCAAAGCTTGCAGGCACTATTGAAGTGGTGTGGGCAGGGGGAGAAAGAAAGGACATATAATACGAAGACTTACAGAAAATCAACTAATCCAACTTCCTAATTCTATGATAAAGTGAGGCCCCAACAAGTAAAAGGACTTGCTCCAAATGAGCCGCCTAGATAGGTCTAGAGAGTCTAGAGCAGCCGTGGGCAAACTACGGCCCGCAGGCCGGATACAGCCCGTTTGAAATAAATAAAACTATTGAAATAAAAGACTGTACCCTTTTATGTAATGATGTTTACTTTGAATTTATATTAGTTCACACAAACACTCCATCCATGCTTTTGTTCCGGCCCTCCGGTCCAGTTTAAGAACCCATTGTGGCCCTTGAGTCAAAAAGTTTGCCCACCCCTGGAAGGGCATGTGGGAGGGTG